CTGACTCTAATATATACACAATTTGTTAAGAAAATGTGTATACAATATGTGAGAGATGGACATGATAAGAAATATAGTCAAACGATGGTTTATCATTGAAATCATTTTGTATATAAAGATTGGGTGTAGAGTGATACGACATCACATCATAATTAATCTTTTTTATTTTACCATTCTATACATCATTGTCTTATCATAAACTAGCCTTTCTTGGTAATTTATATTCCAGTTTCCACGCGTAAACTATAGGTACATACTAGTTCAAGATATTGTTCTTCTTCACTTTGTGTCATGAACGTGAAGCTATAGAATTGGGATTTGGGGTTTTACATCTCGTAGTATTTTATTACACATTTTTTCTTGAATTTTGACTCGACTTTAAATTTTGATTTCTTTAGTTATGAATTTTTTAAATTTTACCAAAATGTTGATGCGCATTTCTCGCAAAATTTCCTGTCCTGTGTGATATTGTAAACAGACAAACATTCTTGTCCCGTTAATGGCAACTTTTTTACCTGTTATCTGTTTCATGGCTTTGAAGTTATGATATGCTATACCAATCATTTAAATTCTGGATTTAAAATTAGATTGCCCCAAGTTGTAAATGTTGTATTTGCATGGATATCATATCAGAATAGTACACATTTTTTCACACTTGATGTTCAGATTATAACTGAGCTTATGTTCTCCAATTTCGTAAAAGCGGTTTTCCAGAAAAATAAGTTTCTTACAAACGTTATCTACATCCTGACCAGTTTCTAGAAAACCATTCTGAACATTCGTTTCAACAATAAACGTTATTGTAAATAAAATGAGATCCATGACGAGATATTACACTTAAACTTCTTGAGAATTTCCTGATAAAATACTCAAACTTTTTTCATTCTCAAGTCTTCTTTATATTTTGTTGAAAATTAACTTTTTTGAAATGAACAAATTTTGACAGGTTTGAAATTGGAGCTATTAGACAGATCTTATAGTGATAACCCCAAGCTGGTGTGGAATAAACGCCCCATCGCTACTAGAAATGTATATATAATACACCCAAAACAAGAATGGCGGTCTGGCGAAAATATGTTGACTGCATGATACCACTCACACGGCAGCGAAAAAACAACATATCATAATAAAACGAAACGAAATGGTTTTCAGAAATTTATGAGAATATTTTTTTCTGAGTGGAAATGTTAAGTAATTAAGTTTTAATTTTTGACATTTTACATAGTTTGATTGCTAAAAGCCATTTCATGTTAGGATCTTGTTCACATCACCTGCAACACTCTTGATGAGGTAAACAGACAGTTTGAAATTCGGTTAATTATAAATTTCGGAATCGATTTAAAGATGACAAGAAACGAAAATCTATCATCAGAAATGGATTGAACTCTGTTGGTGAGCTGTATTAATACAAAGTCATCTTATATAATAGTGGTATATGGAGTGTGGAATACGTCTTATTAGAAAAGTAATTTACAACTTCATTCTCCGCCATCAAGGTTTGGTATTAATTAAAGAGAAGTTTCAGAGTTAAGGTTAATGTAAACAACCAGTTGATTTGGTGTCAGGAAATGTAATCAACCGTTGCCCTAACAAGTCTCCCTTTAAGCATTTTATATATTGTACAGATGTGACGTCATTAAATGTAAATAAAAATGACATTTGGATGTAAATGCACTTTGTTCTCTTTCAACCGACTAGATCAATGATTTACTTTTAGAAATGTTGAATTTCAATCAATTTTCCTCAATATTTCAGCTTATATCAATGTCAGACAATTTTTATTGGGGCTTTGATTAACATGTAAAATTCCTAGTTTATGCAGTAGCTCACCAAGTATAAATATTTTAACTACAACACGTTAAAGGTTCCAAAACGGTTGTTTTTTTTTTTTTTAAATTAATTAATGCTTTAATTTGATTTCAACGATGTTAAAGTTTAATTTTAAACTTTGTCCGCATTTGGTTGTAATCTACAAATAATATTGTCTGAATGAACCGAGTAGAAAATGTGTGAAATAATTTTTTCTCAAGATTTTTTTTTCAAATCACAGTTTTATGAATGAAAATGTATAATTTGTTAAGAATGGGATATAATTATGAAGAATTAATAATATATGTAAATAAATAGGCAATATTAATAATATTCAATAAGATTTTGTAGTCTATGCCTTGGGGATATTTGAGTTTTCTATTAGTTGTTTGCTACCAGATTGAACAAATATTAAATAATTTCAAGTTGATTTTATTTCAATATTGCTCAGTTATATCAAATGGAAAATGTTTAACCGCCTGTTACCAAATGAAAAAGCTTGAGAAATTTGTTGTAAACTTTTTTGTCATATGTAACAAAAACTTGAAAATTGTGTTTGTTAATGCATTTTACGGCGAAATATTGAATGTGACAAGCGCCTTATGTATTTGAGAAGTTTGATATGGGGTCTATTTAGCGATTGGAGAGAAAATGATGGTAGAGTAATTTAAAGTGCCATCTGTCAGTGTGGTAATATTGGTGTAAAATATTTTAATTATCTAGAAGGGTTTCAACAATATATTCTATCTTAATTTATCACACGTCTTCAACATATTCTGTACATTTGTAGAAAATTGAGAATCAAACAGAATCAAGGCAAGTTAATAGGCTTATCTTCTAGACATCATCTCTCTACTGCCTTATCATAATTTACCATCAAAGTCAATCTGTAAAGGCGTAAATATCAGCACATTTCCCGAGAAATTCTTTCCGTCGAATCTTAACTCGGTATTCTTCGTTCAAGTGAAGAATTCTTATCATTCATCAGCATTGACCGCCATGTTTGAACACAAACTATCCAAACTTTTATTCTTGCAATTTCATTTCATAGCCCTCGTTGTAACTCGTTCATAAATAAATATAAATATATAAATAAATATTCAATTTATGTTTTGTTTATTAAATAAACATAGTTATTATTATGGTATTTATTTATATAAATATCAAACAAAATAAATTTAATTTGGGTTAAAACAACACTAATAAAAGTATGTTTCATATTTTCAACGTTTTCAACATTTGACTAGAATTAAAATTGCAAAAATAACCATTTTGAAACAAATCACCAAATTTCGGCATATCCATAAATAAAAATATCGTTCTATTTGTAATAATATTCTATTTTTATATTAATTTATTACAACAAATTGGTAAATGTAATAAAAGTGTAATAATATTTCTACCCTGTTAGCCCGGTGTGACATGAAAATAATTTTACTAAAATAATATTTGGTTTTTCTAGCCAAGAGAAAATGAAATAGAAAATTTAGGAAAGGATGCGATATTAAAAAGCAACTTAATAATAATGAATTCTGTGCTTAATTGGTTTAAAATTATGCGTATAATGATGTGCTAAATAATTCAATAATTCATGTGCTAAAAATGTGTTGTTCGGAAAATGAATAAAATAAAATCAGCGATAAAAATCTAACAAAATCTGTTAACGTTTCAATAAATCTAAACATCATATACAAATTTGTTCAAGGGTCTCGTTTCAAAAGAACCAAAAATAAATTTCAAAACAACAATACATCGCCACCGACCCATAAAATTTGCCAATACAGGCAACATGTACAATAATCTTATGAAATAATAAAAGAATATTTCAATAGAGAGCACTTATATCCTAATAAATTTTACACAATAAATTTATACAACACTAGTCTAGATAAAACGTTTTATCCACGAAACATAAATTGGGAATTTATACGCACATTTATTTATAAACAGTTTTAGAATAAAATGATGAATTGATAAGACGAGATTTTTTTAGTAAAGTTCTAGCCTACCTTCAAATGAGTTCCAAATTTACACAGAAATTCACAATCAGAAAAATACGAGTTCACAGATTATTTGGTAAAATTAAATTGCAATACGTATAGCGAACGTCACATCCAATATTGAGTTATTCTCAGTTTGTTTCTATGTATAATATATTAACAATGAATTATTTATTAATGTTTAGTCTCAATTCAAGACATTGTTCCTTCATATTCTTCGAATACCAATCATGATAATTTAGTGAGTTCTGGTTATTCAATTTTCAGTTGTGGTGGAGTTGATATTTGAAGTCGACAATAACATCAATATTTTGTACAGTCATATGATGAATATGGATTTCCACTTTTATACGGTGCTCGGAAAGCTAATTGACAACTGGATGCTGTTTGTCCTTGGCCCTGAGCACTAAGAAGTCTTTGCGAGTCAAACATGTCCCGCACGTTAGGGAACGGAGATGCCGTAAAGTCAGAACCATGATTTAGGTCAGCATTAGAGGACATGTACCAACTATTTTGTCGTGAAAATGAGCTAGGTTGTGACACAGAAAACACACTGGAACTGAGTCCATTCGTCGGTGGAATTGTTGAATGAGGTGAATTGCATCCGCCATGTCCGTCATCCGAAGATTGTGAAGATAGTGAGGATTGCTGGGCTATCGACATATGTTGAGATCCACCGGGAAATACGGCTTGAGCACTACATGGATAATTATAGGTGGATGGAGTGTTCTGAGATGTAGAATTACGATAAAGATCAGTTGAACGTGAATAAGATAAAACTTGAGGTGACACTAGAGGTGGTGGTCGACTAGTAATATAAGTGTTTGATGAATTAATATCGCAGTTTGTAACACCATGACCCGTTGTCATCAAGTTTTCAACTGAAAAGTTACTGCATGGTCCTTCCACAACAGGATCATGAGGAATCGGTAAAGCATTCGCAGTAGGAGGTCGGTTTGTCAAACAATCACTTTTTGGGGAATCCATAGGTTCCAATTTGGTATTCATAATAGGTGAAGAATTCGAGTTGTTCAGATGATTTTCTTTTTCAACTTTGACCATTAGATCTGGACTTCCGGCGTTACTGGATACCGACCTATCACCATTCATATCCATAATCTCACTAACTTCACTCTTGTCTTTTTCTTCTGAATCTTTCTTATTTCGATTCTCTCGATCTCCATCAGTCATCTTCTTTTTAAAACGACGCCTTCTTCGTAAGTAACTACCATTATCGAACATATTATAACTATCGGGATCCAGAGTCCAGTAACTTCCCTTTCCTGGTTTCTTGTCATCTCGAGCAATTTTAGTAAAACATTCATTCAGAGACAAATTATGACGAATAGAGTTCTGCCAACCTTGTTTATTTTCTCTATAGAATGGGAATCGGTCCATAATAAATGCATAAATACCATTTAATGTTACTTTCTTCTCAGGACTGCTTTGTATTGCCATTGCAATGAGAGCGATGTAACTGTACGGTGGTTTAACCATATCCTTGGACATGTGATGTTGTGGCGCATAGGTACCATACGGCGATGGCCTGGCAACTGCATAATTTTCTGGACCATACATCGACATTCCTCCCATCGCCATTCCTGTATATCCACCATGGCGGTAGTAGTTCAGGTTGTTTTGATCGCCGAGAAAAGGCACCATTCCAAGACTGGATCCGTTCGGTATACTGGAAACCCCAGCCGAGGAATATGGAGACTGTAATCCAGCGTGCTGCATCCCTCTGTTAACAGAGATAACACAAAATATTAGTAAAAGTCACACTCGAATGTTTGTTATAGACAGAACTGATGGAGAAAAATCTTTTTCTCGAACCATAGAGAAATATACACCAACATGTGATTCGACAGTTTACTACTAAGCCATAAAAGGTTTTAGGCCCCACCCCTGACACTTGATCGACCAATGAAAAGCTGAGAATCCTAGTTTGACAGATAAATGACCACACACTGGGGCATATTCAATCAAGAGCGTCATGTCATAACACGGCGGGATGAGAATATAAATTAATTGATCATTTCACCGACTGACATCAATAGAGAGGCAAGGGATGGGGAGAGAAGATTAATCATAAAACACGAGCTAGACTCGGGGAACGGACGGCGGTCTGCGAGACGTGCCTGGTTTTCAATTGTATACACAACATATACCAACTAATTCAACTATGCTTATACTATAACACGCGACCTTTGCCAAATGTTTTCGCTTTAGATAGCGATTTCAAGAGCTTTCTTGAGTAGTTTTGTATATATAATAATTACACACTCTAGTAAATGGTGTAAATGTTCCCGATGGTCGACACTTGTTTTTTTTTACAATCAAATTAAAAGGAAATACTCATGAAATACAACGAGCTCTATCACGTTTAAAATTTGGTCACAATGTCGACATTTTTCTCAACATATTATTTTCAAAAAGCGTGAATCATATGTGTAATCAGAGCCCTCTTCCCCTTTCCCCGGGCTTTTAATTTACTAGTTGGTATTGTTCGCCTTCATGAAGCTGTATCCAGCTGGTATACATTAGAGTTCCTGGGAATACGATTAAATTACTTGCATATTGTGGGCCAGTCTAAAATGTGATACCCTGAGCGTTTAAAACCGAGTAGAAAATCAAAAACGGAATATACAATTTTTTACATAAGAAATATGAAATAAAAGTTAACATTGGAATGTATAAAATCATAGAGTCGACGTGGTAATTTTCATACTTTCGTTTCGTGAAGTGCATTAGTGGTAAATTTATATGGAACACAGGGTCAAAGTTTTCAGACTGTCACTGTATACAAGTTTCTCAAACAAGTAGTCTTTTGTTTCTTCTGACTGCATTGTCATAATGTCCGGCCAGGCTTTTAACAAATTTTTCAAGAAAAAATTTCAAAATGAAAGCCAGCCCTCCCAAAGTGGAACGAATACTTCAATTCCCTTGGCCCGAGTAACAAGGGTCAGGAACAATTCTTTGTCTGTATTAATGTGTTCAGACTTTTTTCAAATTATTCCTACAGTCTATGTCAGGTAAAGTCAGAATCATAAAAATGTTTGGCGTCAGGAATTTGTCGATTATAGCTCCAGGTCAGAAGAGGTGTTCACTCGCAGCCTTATTAAATTATTTCAGTAATTTTAACCGAGTGGTCGACATTATATTCAGACTGTATTTTCTAATCTAATAATCAGAGTAAAATGTACCCTCAGATAATCAGTAAACTTTCACCGACCAAAACCTCAGACAGGTCTTTCATCAACTAATTTCACATTTTGAACTTCTCATTATAAACTCAAAGTGATAATTGATAATGCATATACGATTTGAATGAAAAAAACTAAAAATTTAATGAATGTCACATTCATAAACTAGATTTTTGGGTTCATAACATTGATAAAGCATACTTTTTAACACTGTGGTTTATGATTAAAGGTGATCTCAATATCCTTGAACCTTGAAGTACTTAATCTAATATTGAAACTGGTCTCATTCATGGTTATCTCTTGTACAAAATTGCCTCGGATATTCATATCTTTACAATTTTTGTAAAGTTACTTTTATGCACGCTTATGCTGGAACTAAAAGGGATTGTAAAGATGTTTCCTGACACTGATATCATCAATTTACACCATTCAACTTTTCAATCCGATTTCTGTGGTTTCTGCAATTCCACTAAAACTAAGTGTTTTGTGACGTCACTAATCGCGAAAGGCCTAATATTTTGATAAAGCAAAATTGTAGGAACCACAGTAGTCTGATCTCCGATACACATACAAATTTACAAAACCTTTTTACAATCCCTTTAATCCTCTGACTGAGGTTATACGAAACAATGGAGTAATAATGGTACCTTTCTGAGACTTTACTAAGCTCGCAATTTAGAATATTAAAGGGACATGCCGCTTTTTTATAGGTCAAAAAAAGGTCAAATTTGTGAAAACTATACACCAAAATCTAGAGAAATGTGCCCTTTAACGCATCTGAAAGATTTAACTAAAAAATCCAGCCGTTAATGTTTAAGTTCATTATGCTTTTTGGAAGATGTTAGAAAACTACTGTATGGATTTAAGTAAAATAAACGTCTAATTGTAGAGAAATATGTCTCCTGGTATTCGAAAGGTTTCAGCTGATAATATCGAGCCATTATAAAGTCAAACACTAAACTGGGTAAAATTGCTTAATTAACAATTAGAACTCTCCGTTTTTAATTAAGCCTTTTAAAACAAATTCAGTTTGATCAAGAAGATACATAGATATAAATAGCATACTTTAAAATGTTTTCAGGTATAATAATTACAACGTTTTTGATAATGAAAACCTTTTACAAAAAAGCGGAATACCCCTTTAAGACAGATAGTATATTTGGTCCAAATGCAAAAAACGTTAGCTTTGCCTGTCCTGGTATTTATAACCACTCTTTTGCAATGTCTTTCGCAGTCCCAAACGCTCACTCACAAGGTTATAATACAACACAATTTAAATATGAAAATAAACTTACTTTCCGAAAAGAAGCATTTCTATAGTTTACAACTCTTACAACTCAAATATTGATAAATATCTGAAAAATATAGAATAAAAAATATCTGAATTTATTGGCAAGCAACAGGAATCCCTTGGCACTGTATAAACAGGAAATAAGCAGTAGGAGGACTACCTGCAACTCCGGTCGACTGTGGAATTCCAGGAAGCACAGCAGGGAATCAAGTGTAAAGAAGCATCAGGTACATTACAAGACATTGACATTTTCAACTTGCACTGATATTCTTACGCAATCATAATTAAACGCGCAAATTATTAATCCTAGTGAAAATGCTGCGTAAATCAGCAATATTATAAGCTGAGTTATTAGCCTCAAATCGAAATCCAAAAAGTACCCTGTATTAATTAAGAGGATTTGAACGAACTTTTCATAACCACAATCTGTTTGAGGCTGTCTTTAATGTTTTAAAGTTGGAGCCCGAAACAGAATTGGCGAATTCGTGCCACTGTCCTGGAAACAATGTCGCTTAGACAATGCATAACAATTTAATTATTAGCTTACACAATCGAACTTATTTGCATAACGAATTTCAGATAAATTGAAAATTAAAACATAACATATTAGAGCTGGAAGTAAGAGATGCATTATGGCATTAATGACAAAATTGTTATACATCATGATTTTAACATCAAATTAAGAGGAAACAAATTTTAATTTGACTTCAACCTAACTTTAAATATAAAAGCGATTTACTCCATTCAGAAAGAAATATATATGAGGAGATGAGCAGTTTGAAAAATTATGAAGATTTCATTATGTTTTCATATCGCCAATATGTTGTTTTGGATTTCGGGTTTCGTTTTGCGATTCGGATAGGTAAAACCCAAGGATAGCAAAATGGAGAAAGATTTTTTTAAAACTAGGAGTAAGGTATACTAAATTGTGACAATTCCTTTGTGATGCATCTTTATGACTTCATTTTCCTTAGGCCAAGTTTTCTTAGTCTTTGTTGATTACTTCATACAGCACTAGTTAAGATAAAGACAAAAGTAATTATGTCTTTTTAATTTTCAGATTTTATCCGTGATCATGGTCAATTCTCTCATCTTCCTAATTATCATCTTTAGCTCTATAAACAAACTCCACCCACCTGTCATCAGTCCCGCCCAGACACACCCTTTCTGATCTTAAAAAACATTATCTCGTCAATCACGGATTATTATCGATTTAGGGAATCACAGTGACGCGATAAGTAATGATCATTGTTAATTAGAACATAAATTTCTCTCTTAATAAACATAAAATACAGGATTGCAAATTGTACGAAATGAGAGCATAATATTTATCAAATTAGACATAATTCGTAATAATGCAAACCATGGATATAATAATTGCACATACATGTATTTTGAACTCTTCCACAAGCCAGTGTCAAGATTACCAAACTATTTAATGACACATTAATCGATCTAGTCTAGGATAGCCAATATTCCATTCTTTATCATGATATAAATCGCTTTTTTACTCTTGAGATCTCATCGAGCAATATTTTTCACAAAAATTGGGAACTAAATGAGAGTATGAGAAATGAAAACACATAATTTGAAAAGACGTGGATGGTCCTGCTTGAGCATTCAGGTGGTCTGAGCTATTCTTACTTTGATATTTTGGACAGACCATGCCTTTCGGCACAGTTTTATGAGTTGAAAAGCTGATATTAACTAAAAGCAATTAATTAAGATGGGTAGATCAACAAATAAACATCCTGTATATTTAAATCTTAACCGATTCAGCACACGTTCTTTCTGACTAACAATTACAAATAACAATCTAACTGCATTACTCTCGTTCACCGACCACAAATCAAATTTGAAGCGTTTTGTCATGTACCAATAAGCTCAATAATACCTTTCTGACATTGCCAGAGGCCAGTGTTCGTTTTCTGTCCAAAGCTTATTGAATGACCAGTCCAGTTTAAATATTTAGCTTTAAATCGGCTTTCAAGTCTTGGTCTGAATGATGTATTTGT